GTTGACTGTATGAAACATAAATCCCACAGGACTATTTCAAATAAATCCCAGCTCGAAGGACCAATGATTAGTATGGGGTTAATTAATAATGAAATGATTTATGGATGAATGTACCTTTGGAATTATGTCGGACGTAGTGAGCGGCAAGGAAGCGGCGCGGGGTCGAGTTGCGATGGTAGATGGTAGAATGTCCTCAAGACGAAGGCACAACACTTGACACTATCTTCTTGTGTTGAAGTCTTGATCTTGATGTCGGAATAACGCACGTCTAAAAGTCTATACAGTCCAAAATGAGCGCTTACAAGAAGTTCCTACGCGACCGCGGTAGACCGGAATGGGAGGATTCACTGTTAAACTGACTTTACACACTGGTTAATACAAGTAATTTAATTTAAAGAGGAAAAATGTTATGAGTACTATACAAAGGGGCCATGGACGATTCCGAGTGGCAATAATAGAGAATTAAAACTATAAGAGGGAAAGCCACAATGGCAGAGAAAATTAATTATGTCAGAGTGACATGTGTTAGGTAAACCCGGCAACCAACAGACTGGGCAAGCGTCCCGATGCGACGCTAAAACTTCGCAAAAATATCCTTCCGCCAAGTTAACCAATGGGCATTGTGCTGACCCCACTAGGTTCAATTGAAAACCCCTCCTCTCTCTCTGTCGGCGGCAAATACAAATGCATAAATTATACATAGTACAAGAAATAAAAACATTTTCCTGAAAACTTACTTAACAGTTGTATTCAAGTACTTCCAAGAACTGTTGAGTTTTATCACGGTTATATCTTTACGACTTTCCCCAATTCTATTTTATCATAAAAATAATAGTTTTATGATGACTGTTAAATGTTATCTCTAACTCAGTCAGTATTTTCGTGAATATTCAATTTGCCGCTGGCATTGCCTACTGCCATAAAACTGTTAGGTGCTACATATTAAACTTGTAACCAATCTAATCTACAATCTTATTTGTAAGTTAAAATATTTGTTATAAATATTTTATCTTTCTATTGAGAAACCACAAGCATATTTGTTGTTTGCATAATTTTTTTTTTCGTTGTTATGCAAGCCTACTCGGTCTCAAATTATGTCATTGCATGTTCTGTATCTTGTCTTACATTGTTAGATGTGGCTGTTTAAGGCTTAAATGTTTTTTAGTTTCCTAATTACGCGCTACCCATATAAAATAATGTTAATTTTTTTTTTACTTTTTGATTTTTTTAATGTTGTAATATTGTTTATAATCAAAAGTTGACACCCACTATGTGTGCCAGAATTTCAACCGTTTTGCCGTATCTCAAGCCGTTTTCGAGATATAAGCGTTTTTAGACAGTTTACGGACTTAGACGATTTTTCATGGTAACTTTTATTTGTAGCCTACCCATATAAAATAATGTTAAATTTTTTTTACTTTTTGATTTTTTTAATGTTGTAATATTGTTTATAATCAAAAGTTGACACCCACTATGTGTGCCAGAATTTCAACCGTTTTGCCGTATCTCAAGCCGTTTTCGAGATATAAGCGTTTTTAGACAGTTTACGGACTTAGACGATTTTTCATGGTAACTTTTATTTGTAGCCTACCCATATAAAATAATGTTAAATTTTTTTCTTACTTTTGATTTTTTAATGTTGTAATATTGTTTATAATCAAAAGTTGACACCCACTATGTGTGCCAGAATTTCAACCGTTTTGCCGTATCTCAAGCCGTTTTCGAGATATAAGCGTTTTTAAACAGTTTTACGGACACTGCCCCAAGAGCCAAGTTCGCGGTCACGGGACTGGGGAATCCCCAGGTGGTGACGTCACCGGGGACGAGTCTATATATAGAAGTGGCATAGTAATGTCAATGTATTATAGTTAAAAATAATGATTTTGAAACAGTTCTGAGAAGAAAACCGCAAAAATACGGGTAGCCGCGTACCGTACCGATTATGTACCGAGAACCGAGGTACAAAATATTCTACCGTACCCGGTACCGACCTTCAATTTTCTGTACCGCAGACCCCTATCATTAATAGATCCCAAACCTATTTTATCGTGAAAATAATAGCTTTATAATGGCTGTTAAATTTCACTTCTTACTTGTACTTTCGGCTTGAAGATTCAATTTGCCACGGCCAGTCCCTAGTGCCATAAAACTGTTTATGGTTTCATATTAAACATGTAAATAATCTTCAGTCTTATTATGTAAGTTAACCCCTTTTTTTATGGACATTTTATCTTTCAATTGACAAAACCACAAGCATTGTTGTTTGCAATAATGTTTTATCACTATGTAGGCCTGCTTGGTTTCAAATTATGTCATTGGATTTTCTGTATCTTTGTCTTATATCGTTGGCTATTCATGTTTCAATGTTTTTTGTTTCCATATATTTATTTATTGAGTTGTATGCCTTAAGCAATCACAATCTTATGAACTAGAATGATGATAGTAACTTTGCTGCTATTATAACCTCATTGTTTGTTACTCAGTTTATATAGGCCCTCCTAAATAATTAGGTTTAGGCCTGGGTATTTTGATTCTTGAAAGAGCTGTAAAATATATTAAGAAAATGTAATTGAGCCTAAGATAAACAACTAATGATTGCTATGTGTCGATATTAACTTTACAAATGAAAATAAAATAATCTTACTCTGTGCTTATTGCTTATTAATAGCCGCTTACCATACCTTGATTTTGTACTAAGAATTGAGTAACAATATGCATTTTTTTTTTTCAAAAGTAGTCGAGAACCTAAGTGTGCCAGGGCGAATCATGCCAAATCAATCCGCCTGGATTGGATAAGCTATGTTATGAAGTTTACGTGACGGATGGAGATATTTGTCGCTTTTGCAGGAGACAATGATTGCGTTTCTCTGTTACACTATAAAAGCTTTACCTAAAGTATAGGTAGGCCTATGTTTGTGTACTTTCAATAAATTTCTATTTTGTCATTTTTAACTCTTAGCTATTATTATTTACTTTTCTCTCTGGTACAACTACAGTGAATAACAAGATTAATACAGTTTGACAAATCAGGAAAATTATTCGGTAGGCCTAATGACACCGACAAAGGTTACGGCAAATTGTCCTTAAATGTACGGGAATTGTCCATGAATTTTTTATTCAGAATGTAGTAGACACCCTGTCAGATCCGGATCCAGATACACACTGTCATAAGGGCGGGTTAAAAAAAACGTAATTAATAGAAGCCAATTTAAATCATACTGTTTAAAATTAAATTGGTAATGTTTTAAGGTTGATATATCTTATATATAGAGTAATCTCCAGTTGAGCCCATAATCCCTCATTTTTTGGGGACACTAAAACTTTTCAAAATCATAAAATGAAACTGTGCTAAATTTGCACGACCACCAAAAGGGTATCTGTGTATATTTTACTATAGTTCGATCTTGAATATGCTATATCGTGGTTTTTGCATGCAGCATCCAATTTATTTATGCCTGGAACACCTCTTGTTGATCTCTTTTTTTTTTTCAAAAGTAGTCGAGAACCTAACGTTGTGCCAGGGTGAATCATGCCAAATTAATCCGCCTGGATCGGATAAGCTATGTTATGAAGTTTACGTGACCGATGGAGATATTTGTCGCTATCACAGGAGACAATGACTGCGTTTCTCTATTACACTATAAAAGCTTTACTAAAGTATAGGTAGGCCTATGTTTGTTTACTTTCAATAAATTTATATTTTGAAATTTTTAACTCTTATCTATTATTATTTACTTTTCTCTCTGGTACAACTACAGTGAATAACAAGATTAATACAGTTTGACAAATCAGGAAAATTATTTGGTAGGCCTAATGACACCGACAAAGGTTACGGCAAAGTGTCCTTAAATGTACGGGAATTGTCCATGAATTTTTTATCCAGAATGTAGTAGACACCCTGGCATGGCCAGCCATATAAATTGTTTGCATCAACATATAAATACGAAGACATGGTCAAGCCATATAAATGGTTTGCATCAACATATAAATACGAAGACATGGCCTAGCCATATAAATTGTTTGCATCAAGATACAAATACAAAGACATGGCCTAGTCATATAAATTGTTTGCATCAAGATATAAGGTATACATTGAGACCTTGCCTTGCCATTTATGTTATTTGCATCAAAAGACAAACACTTAGACATAGCCTTGCCATATAAATTCTTTGATATTAATTTTTGTGTTACAGCTTTGTGTTAGTAAAGAAATCGGGGAAAAAATCTGTCTTGTACATGAATACAGACAGCTTTGTGTTAGTAAAAAAATCGGGAAACAATCGGTCTTGTACATGGATACAGATAGCTTTGTGTTAGTAAAAAAATGGATAAAAATTTGAAAAAATCGGATCCATCAAAACCGGATCCAGCCCAAGATCCAGAATTTTTTGGATCCGATCCGGTGCCGGTTCTAGCTCGGATCCGGCGGATTCGGTAGTCCGATATCCGGATCCGACCATCACTAATTTTTATCCAGCTGGTCAATCTAGTTTTGTATTTTTATCTATATATAAAGCCAAAAGTACCCATGAACTTTTGAGAAAACTACAAGTCACACCCCCATAAACCATATACTTAAAATGTTCGTCATGACGAGAAACCTTGCGCAAAATTATCCATTATTCCATAAATTGCCTTATAAGGACGTAATTGCTTTCCAAAGGGAACTTTCCATTTACCTAATGTTAAAAATACCTCAGCTGTTATTATTTGTTTGTATTCTGTTTTGTTTATTTCATCTTAACTTACCAATCAATAGTTTTATTAATTCTAATTTAGTAAAACGGGGTGGAGCCCTTGGGTAACAGCTAGTTTTTATAACGTAAAATTATGTTTATAAATCAGTAAAACCAATAAGGGCCATGTTGTTATTTTCTAAATTTTTACTAATAATTAGTTTTTTTAAGGAAAAAGTTAATTTGGTCAAAAACACCGATGCGCCTCTTGGAGCGTTAAATAAAAGAAAACCATATTGATATTACTAATACTTTTGTTTCCAGGTTCGTGATGGCCATATCCCGCACTTTCCCACTCTTCATGGTGTTGTCATGGGTTTACACGTGTGCTATGATCGTAAAATCTATCGTGTACGAGAAGGAACAACGACTGAAAGAGACTATGAGAGTGATGGGACTCGGCAACCTCGTACACTGGCTAGGATGGTTCATAGACAGTATTGTGCCCATGATGGTGACAATTACTATGCTTACTGCCATCTTGGTGGTGAGTGTGTAACATATATTTTGATGGTATTAGATTAGGGATGGTATTGAAAACTAGCACTAGGCCTATATATAAAATTTAAGAGAACACTACAAATTATTAATAATAAAATTTTAATATAATTTTGTAACCTACAGTAAACTCTCGGTTATCCACAAGTGGATTAACCTTATTGCAGATTAATGGTGATTGCAAAAATATCAAAATATTATGCAACTAATATGCTACTAATAAAGAAATTATAAAGTGACGGTCAAATTGTTTAGCATGAGAAGGGCCAAAATATCGTGGACACTGGACAGACTATAGAGCTGCTGTTGTTTCCTTCACCGACCATCGATGAATCACCGATTACAACCAATGAGTTGATAAGTCAAATTTTGTATGTGTTAAAAAAATTCGTATTACCAACCCTATACATTGGCTCTCTAATATTATTTGTTTTTTTTTTTCAAAAGATGTCTGTGAAACAAAGTTGATGTGTGAATACTGCATTTAAAATGTTTACCAAAACCTTTATTTATAGCTTATACATTCAAAGTCAATGTTGACTATTTCCCAGGTATTTTAGGTTATGTTTGCATTATTCACGATTTTGACCATTCACTATCACTCAGCCAAATTATGGTGGATAATCGGAAATCTACTGTATTTGTGAATACCACAATGTTAAGGCCTATACTCAAATAGTTTTGAAAACTATTCTTTACAAATTTAAAGCTGATAACTCTTAACTAATCATACAATTAACTTTTCCAGTACGGTAACATTCTAAAGAACGCAGACCCCATGCTGGTGTTCACCTTCCTCAGTGTGTATGGAGTGGCCACCATCGCTCAGGCGTTTCTTCTCTCCACCTTCTTCTCCAAGGCCAATCTCTCAGCCGCTTGTGGAGGAATTATCTTCTTCATCCTCTACCTCCCGTACAGCTTCCTCGTACGTTGGATCCTCTTCATGAGTCCGTGGATCAAAGCTTCCCTGGTGAGACTCTTTTGATTATTAATAATGACTAGGTGAACCTTTGCGAATTCGCACGAATAATAAATTAAAATTATGATATTATAGCAACTCTTTGTTTGAAGTTCATTGTTGGTGATGGTGAGTTAATGTTGTTCAAAGGTTTATTGCGGACATTTTCCATCACGAATGTAAAAAACAATACACAACGTTTCGGGATCTGGAATCTGATCCCGTCTTCAGGTGAAAAAAACTTAACTAACACATTACAACTAACAATACACAAACGCCCAACCTAAGTTGGAATACACTACCGAGGGTAGTAGTCAAAAAATATGCACAGTGCATATTTTTTGACTACTACCCTCGGTAGTGTATTCCAACTTAGGTTGGGCGTTTGTGTATTGTTAGTTGTAATGTGTTAGTTAAGTTTTTTTCACCTGAAGACAGGATCAGATTCCAGATCCCGAAACGTTGTGTATTGTTTTTTACATTCGTGATGGAAAATGTCCGCAATAAACCTTTGAACAACATTATAGCAACGTCGTTAGAAGTTTCGTCGTTGTATCGACGTTGGTCTTGAGCTCGATCGTTGGCTATATGCATGCTAAGGTCTTTTTGCTGTTCAGTAGGAGTATTTTGCAGGACGGAGCTCATCATGCTGAAAACTTGCTCTTATGGATTAATATCAACCAAATGTTGAGTCAAAATTTCCATGAGTTCAGTGCTGTAAAACCATTAGCTTTGTTTAGAAATTCTTTCTTGAACAGCGGTTTCGACATCCGTAGATATAAGCTTTGGCATATGTGGGATGCTCCCCTTCTGACGGTTGAATGGTGCCAATTAAGTGATAAATTGTGTCGTGCACCTTATACATGAAAGACCCTCCATCGTTGTTCTTCAATTTTAGCTCGAGTGCTGACCATTGCGAGCGCAGAGTTGTACGATCTAATGTTCTCTTTGTAGTTTCTCCTCAAATGATTTGCTCCATTAAGTTACTTTATGGCAGCAGGATAAAAATCCTTCGCCTCGTCCTCTTTGTTCTTCTTTAAAATGTAGCTCACCACATTTCTGACATTTTAATGCCATCTCGCCAAGTGAATGCTGCTGAATTCTTGTATTTGTCAGTGCAATTTTGTAAGCACACGTTGCCACTAACTGTTCAAGCTCCCGCTAAAAATGTATATAAACAGGAAACAGATAAACCGTGAGAACGCTCAAATTATGAAGACTACTAATACAGCCGTAGGAAATATTTTTGGCATCGATTCGGGGAAGTGACTGGATAAACAGAGGACCGGATATTCGGAGGCGGAATATTAGGTAGGGGTTCTACTGATAAAAAAAAAATAATCAAAAGTAATTACCAAACAACAATAACAGTAGTAGCTGCTGTTAATTATTTTACAAGAAAATTGAATGTCAAATTTAATTATAGTAGTCATTATCCACGAATCATTTCACCTTGATGCAAATTAATCACGAGCAATTAGTTGACAAGTTAAATTCTGTGTATGTTTTCATTTTTGTTATTACCAGACCTATACATTGGTTGTATATTGGTTTTTATGTATTTATAACCAATACCTAATATGGTCCAATATTATCTGTTGTACAAGTGTGTAAAACAAAGTTAAAAGGTACCGGTATCTACAATGCATTTGAAAGATCTAATCATTAACTAAACCTGTATTAATGCTTAACTATACATTAAAAGTCTATTTCGTTATTCCCGAGGCACTTAGGTTAGTTTTGCATTATTCACATTTTTGATTATCCACTTTCATTCAGCCACTCTAATGAGTTGTAATATTTTGTACTGTCCTTTGTCGTATGTCCTCAAACATTTTTTTTGCAGGCTTTGTCGTCTAATGTTGCGTTTGGTCTGGGGGCAGGCTACTTATCCCTGCTGGAGGAGAGAGGAACTGGCGTGTCGTGGCCAGACTTGTGGCAAAGTCCTCTCTACGGAGATGACTTCAACTTGGGCTTGGTGCTGGTTATGTTGATGGTGGACACTTTCTTGTACTTTTTACTCACTTGGTACATCGAGGCTGTGTTTCCAGGTAAAAATTCACTTAGTAATTTTCAGTATTTTTTATTGTTTTGTTCCTAAATTGTACTATTCCAACTGATCCATGCAATTTATTTTGTCAACTATAGTTTAACACGGGTAACCGTGGATGGTTCCCACGAGGATAAACTAAAAACTCTTGCAGCAATAAACTTTGCTATCTATCGACTACTTCTTCCATTGCTGCTTTGAAATTCTCTGTGGAAGGCCTCTATACTGATCTCATCCCCACAGTTGTGTATGCGTGCACAGTTGTGTATGTGTGTACAGTTGTGTATGCGTGCACAGTTAGGTATGCACACACAGTTAGGTATGTGTGCACAGTTAGGTATGCGTGCAAAGTTAGGTATGCGTGTCCCTCTTAAGCAATGTGACCAGTTGTGTATCCAGAAATTTGCCAGTGCGGGATCAATCACTAGCATTGTATAAAAATATGGGTCTCCTATCAAAATAATTCTTTTTTTTTTTAATCAGAGTGGAGCTGTTCCCATACATTCCCACTCCACTACACCACTTAATTTGAGGGATATGCACTGGGTTTAATATGCTAGAAACTAATGCTGTATTTAATTTATGAGACATTGGTAGAATAGGGTTGATATTTGTTGTTCTCTAGATGCTGTTTATTTTGTTGAATGTAGGTGAGTTTGGGATCCCCAAGTGTTGGTACTTCCTGGTCACCAAGTCCTACTGGTGTGGAACATCCTGCAAAACCGACTTAACTGACAGCTCAGATAAGCTGATTGAAAATGAAGTGTGTAAGTTATCACTATTCTTTATACAACTCTTCTCTTAATTTTTGCTACATTTGCCCGGGCTATAGGTAATGTTTCCACTGCTTTCTTTTCAATATATCTATCTATATACTCAATAAAATAAACATTTTACAATAAGTAGAGGTGTGCGGATAGTGAAATTTCATTTCGGATCGGATAGTTGAGGCTCGGTTCGGATCGGATCGGATATTGGGAGGTTCGGATTAGGATATTTTTGGATTCGGATAGTTCGGCGCGGTTAATAATAAGCTGCATATGTATTTTTAACCTATAAAACAATGTAAAGCTGTGTAAATAAACTTAAATGACGATTTTGAACTATAGAATTTCAAATTAGCCAAGTCCACAGTTTTCTCTCTCTTGAAAATCACAATTCACAACATTTATTTTCAAAAGTTGGTTGCTTGAATTAAGTACACTAGCAGCCGAAATCTTCACACAACACCTTAGCTCAGCAGGACTGATGTCAAACGTTTGGGCTTGTTTACTTGAGGTTATGTTTTATCTTGTTTCCTGGTTCTCACAAGCCAAGGAGTTCGATCTCAAGTTTATTTTCACATTGTATTTCCTTACGTTTTTGGAACAGATTATTGGCCTTAAGTGGCATTTTGCGGGTTTGCCAAGTTTAGAAAACATCACAAATGCACTAAGATAGGCTCTAGCTCACGATTTAATGTTGGGCAATTAAATTAGGCTTTATAACTGTAAAAGGTGTGTATCCCTGAATTTATAAATTGCATTCTACACTTATTCACTGCCAAACATAATTCAGTAGAACCTTGATGAACCGAGAATTACACTAGCCTACATAACTTCACTACCCCAAGTAAAATACCAAGATAATCTTTATAATTATATTTGAATCGTATAATCATATCGTTTGTTAAAAATGCATTGTATGTTCAACAATAATTGCAGTCCATTATTGTTAAGCAGTATGGTCCCAAATTATTGTTTTTGATTTTGAAACATCACAGTTCATTTGACAAAATTATAGTTGAAGCAGCCCAATGTCAAGTCACGCTTGTGCAAAAGTTTGTTTACAAGCTTTCTCCAGATCACAGGGGAGGGGAGGGTCTGATAAGCCGTCTATTGTTCACCCCCAAGAAGGTCCGACCCTCATTAGTGCCGCTCGGCTGCACTCAGTGGGGAACCCAATACCACAAATCAATCTTTTAAATGAATACAAATATATGGTAATAATTGTTTTATTAATATTCACCTTGAAATTTCAATAAATTTGGTGTAAAATTTGACAAAAATCGGCCATTTGGACCGATTATTAATACAGTACCAAATACCAATAAAGTAGTACATTCATTGGTAATTAAATAATAGGTAAAAATTTACCGATTTTCGTCAAGTTTTACCCCCTGCTGTGCGCTATGTCACAAAAGCTGATAACGACATGGGTGATTAGTAACCATGGCAACTTGTTGAATGCGTGATGAAGGGAAACCCAAGAAATAGAAGAACAAAGAGAAAGAATAGACGTTGTTATCTTTATACCCTTTTTACAATATCTGTTATTGTTATCTTTATGCAAGAGTTTATGATTTTGTTTTATAGGTTTATAAAATAATTCTTTTTAACTACGGGAATATCAATTTATAATTCATCAACATGCTTCTCTTCTGAAACAGCAATACCGGATGCAGAATAAAGGTCAATGACCTAAAGTATCACGATTGTGCAATATTGTATTTTGATGTTGAAATGAAAATCACGACAAAAGTTTGTATATATCCATGGTCCCTATCGTTTAACCTTTTAATATGTACACAATCAATGCTAAATAATCGTGGTTAGTTCTAACTTTATTTTTTATTATTCAAAGTTTCTACACAGTAAGACAATCCAAAGTCAAACCGGGCAATGAATACCCAAAAAACAACGTATCTTGTTCTGTGGTTGGAACACCAGTCGCCGGCCAATCCTTTAGGTTTAGGGAAGTAGTGCAAGTCTATATATAGCTTCAAGGTCTTACCCACCCCTTCCCCCTCCGGTCCTACTTGACTCACTACCCGCGCTCCTTTCGAGGTCATTGCCCAACCCCTCCCACCCTTCTATTGTGTTGCCTTTCTATTGTTTCTATTCTGACTTTTTTTTCGGGAAACATAAAATCTATTGTTTACGTAACATCACAGTAGTAGGCTAGATTTTTCTACTTTGAAACAGTACTGTAAAAAAACTATTACGCAGCGCCCCTAGTATCAGGAGCGGGACAAGCACGAGTTGACTTTCATTTGACCATGGTAGTTGTTTTCTGCTTTATGTCTGTTCGTTCCAGACGAATCTAATCGTAAAGCAAAACAGCTGATAACGACTAAACTAGTTATCGGTATTGCATCATACGGCTTCTTTGCCGTTTGCTTTGTCCTGGGAAACTAATGGTGGTTATGGAGATTTAGTTTTCTGTCCAAAACATCAAAATATATTGTCTATCCGAAAAAATCGGATATATAACGGATAGTGTCGGATATCGAATTTGGGCTCATCCGAAAAATCGGGTCGGATTCGGTTCGGTTCGTATACCCGTATCCGAACTGAACCGAATCCGACCCGATTTTTCGGATATCCGCACACCTCTAACAATAAGAGAGTGTAGACTAAATCTTTAACATATGTTTTGAAATAAAAACAAAGCAGAAGTTTCCCATTTAATCTTGAATTGTTTATTATTTAGTCAATGTGGTTATTCACATCCTTTCAACACAACAATAACCTTTTTTTAAGCCTACTTCCATGCTCATTCTACTTATCACACGCTTAGATAATCTATAATAAATATTAAAAGGTAACAGGGTTTTTTATTTCACGATTCTGAATCAACCACTTGACGGATTTTCATGATTTTTGTGTTGAAAGAAAGATAACTTTGAGAACTAGGGAATGTCAAAGCCATAATTTTAGTTTAGGGTTTCAGGTTTTTAGAAAATAAGTTTAAAATTTTAAAAAGTCTAGCAGCCGATCATTCTACACTAGCTTTTGGTATAAAATCATTTGCTTAACGTAACAGCTGTAAACATTAAGCGTGTATGTGACACAAATTCAGCATTTGGATAATAATTACATGCATAGGAGCATAGGGTTGACTTATTTTATACTATGTGTAATGCTATGTGTAATTCGTCCATGTTATGGGTTAGAGGATGACAGACTATTTAAATATTCATGGTAAAATGATGGATTTTCTAATTTATTTTTTAGAGCAATCTTTAATATTTTAAGTTTGTTTTAGTGCAATATAATTTGTTTTAACTAACAGCTGGTTGAATATAAAAGTTTTCTTTAGAACTAACCTAGGTTAGTTTATTATTCTGTGGTTTTGGCATTGATTATAGAAAATAAGTAAGATTCAAGATTCTATAACCACTGATGTATACAAATCGAGGCTCTGCCCCCCGAGTATTCAAAGGAAAAATTATGCAAATTATTTTTCTGTTCGACTTTTTGAGGAAAGAATAGGAAAATAACAATGTGTACATGTTTTTATTAATCTTGGCAGCTTTTTGTTTACAGGAAATGGTTAACTGCTTGAACTTTGCTTGGATTAGAAATGGAAATATTAATATAATTTCCGTTTTAGTTGACTTTTCAATCCCGTACGTTAGGTAGGACGGGTCAACAGCTAGTTTATATAAAAATAGATGTATTTAATAAGTTTAGTATACAATACATTGCAGAATTGGCCGGCAAATAAGTAATCCAAATGTTAATATTGCATACTGGCTTAATGATAAATCACGATCAGCTGTATTGAAGTAAACAAAAGTCTGCAGTAAATGGCTTCTAATGCTATTCTTATGGAGAACATTTTACGTTGTATCTCGTTTACTGATAACTTTATAAGAATTCTGCTATTTTTCCTGAGTCCCTGGGGTCAAGACCTTTAATTTAAGACCCCTCCCACTTTTCTGCGACTTACCAGGCGTCCACAATTTTCTGGTAAAAATGTTGTCTTACAGAATTATATATAAGGATATGGATTGTAAAAATGTGTTTATTTGATTGATAATTGTAACCTGATTGGGGTAGGTAAATCACTCTATCTTGTATGGATCTACAATCGAATGATTTTAAATGTTGTAAATTAGTAGTTTTATAAGTCTAACAACTCTCAAACAAATATATTACCATGATGTGTTTCTTTAATGTTATTTTTCAGTTACAGTTCTAAAGAAAAATATTGCATCATTCTTTTTACTTTGGAAACAAGTTTTGATCCTCATTAAAATGTACACGAGTCCCCTCTAGTGTGAATATATTGTATTTTAAATTAGACATTTGTCAAAAAGCATATTTTCATTCACTTTCCAATTTAATTCTAACAAACCTATATTTTTGTTCAACACCCAGCTCTAATCACTAATTTCTTGGGGTATAAAACTATTGATAACAACTCTGTGAGTAATTTTAGTTGACATTGCATTAAAGAGAGATACCAATACGTTCTATGGATACGTCTACCAATATGTATTCTAATAGATATCAATACGTTGAAATTACAAATTTGACAAATAACAATCTCAAGATCTTCTCCTCTTACAGAGATTCACCATGGGGTACCCCAAGGGTCTATTTTGGGACCGATCTTATTTCTCATTTATATTAGGGATCTGTCAATTCCATTTTCAACTAGTTTACACAGTAGTAATATCTGCCTGTATGCTGATGATGTTACTTTTAAAATCAGCAATTCATCTTTATCAAATTTAGAAAATCATTGTTCTGATACTTTAAATATACAAAATATTTTTTTAAATTCTCATCAGCTCTTGTTAAATTTAAGCAAAAGTAATTTTATGGTTTTTACAACAGGAAAAAGAAAACAAATTGTACAGCCTGTAATTCAATTTCAAAATAATAAATTGGAAGAAATCACCACAACAAGGTTTTTAGGATTAATTGTAGACAAAAATCTTACATGGAATAAGCATGTTGACCAGGTAGTCAACAAAATTACTTCTGGTATCCATGCTATTAATAGAATGTCAAAATTTTGCTCAATAGAAACATTAAAGATTCTTTATTTTGCTTTTATCGATTCATCAATATCTTTTGGCATAAGTATTTATGGCTGTACCTCTAAGCAAAACCTGGGTAGAATTCTTACTCTTCAAAAAGTGCAATCAGAATTATGTTAAATTTAGAATGGGATACTTCCGATCGTCAATATTTTTCAAAATTGGGAATAATGACTGTATAGTATTTATGTTTTTCATACAATTTTACACACAAAAAAACTTTCTAATGCTAATTTGGTCCCTAAACTTGGTGATAGTCATAATTATTTTACCCGTAACAGAAATTAAATTGCTGTCAGTGTCCATAATTTGGAGCTCTTTAACAAAAAAACCACCTGTGCAGGGTAAAGGTTTTTGGACAAACTCCCAGCTGAGGTGAGGAATATTGATAATATAACCAAATTTAAAAATAAACTTAAACATTTCTTAACTGATTAAACACTTTATGGTTTCGATAAATTGTAGGTTAGTTTGATTTATAGTTTTAAGCCTAGTGACACCATTCAATGTATGCGACTGTATACCATATGAATAAAGATATTTTTTCATTTCATTTCACCAAAAAAAAATTTCAAGGGATTGATGTAATTATCAAACTTGTTCACTTAACAGGGCCAATTTACAGTAATGGTCTGTTTTTTGAAGGATATACCTACCAAATAATATTTTGCAGTCGTGGAGACTCATGACAACTTTGAGGCTGAGCCACGGGGTATGAGGAAAGGTGTGGCTGTTCACAACCTGGGAATGGTATACAGCAACGGCAAAGTGGCCTTAAACAATCTCAATATCAACTTCTACGAGAATCAGATCACTTCCTTCCTCGGACACAATGGAGCTGGCAAAACCACCACCATGTAAGTAATTGATTGTTGAAGGGAAACAAGCAACTAGGCTTTAGAATTTGTTAAGGAGAAAGGAAGGATAAACAACTAACTCACCTGAATAAGGAATGAGGAAAGGTGAGTTATTCAGGTTGTTAGTTGTGTATCCTTCCTTTCTTATGTAAGTAATTGGTGATTTGGAAAATGATTTAGTGAGATAGTTAAAACTTTAATAGAAACTTAACAGTGATTTGCTGAAGATTTTGACACTTATTAATTTACTTAATGGCATCACTTCAAAATCATCAAATAAAAAAGTTAGGCTCGAAAGATTCACTTGTACTTTCCACCAAAAGCTCAATTCATTCAAAAATCTTACGCTCGCACACCTCTAAAAATGATAAATATGCCTCAGATTTGACAATAGGATGAAGGATACTCATAGTATCAAAAGTGAGTAATAAAAGAAAAGAAGCACCTCCGTGGGTAAAAGCCGTCAGAATCTGTGCTAGTAATTCCAAACTATAATTATACTAGTGCATAAAAACAAATGATGTAATTAAGCTGTGTTTAATAACAATCAATTATGATGATCTCTTCTTATTATTATTGTTGTTTCAGATCCATATTGACAGGAATGTTTCCTCCGACCAGTGGAACTGCTTACATCAATGGCCTGGACATCCGCAAACAGATGGATTCAATACGCAGCAGCCTGGGCATGTGTCCTCAGCACAATGTTTTGTTTAACTTGTAAGTAGGCCTAAACGTCAATTTTGTTATAGAAATTGTATATTACGCTAGGAGGCAGGAAAGTAGGTGTCTACGGATGAGCATGATTGTTTTCACTAGGGATATCATGCAAATTACTGTAAAGACCTTCCTGAACAAGACATGTATTATACTGTTTGCCACACTACCAGCATCAAACATAGGGTACAGGATGCGTCAAATGCAACCCATACAAATAAACACAACACTGTTTAATTTATAGTACACTATTTTAAAACATAATTTTAACAAAATTATCAACTGTTTTTAAAAGTTAACATTTATAAACCGTTCCATTATTTATTTCTGAAAGTGCAACATGCCTGGCCAAACTTGTCTAGTAGTGTTGTTGAGACGTGATTGAAACAACTCATTATACCTCAAATCAAATCAAATCATCTTTATTCAAACTGTACATACATACATGAATAGAGTCACAGAAATAAGAACTAACAAGTACATTATGTTACTTATTTTAACATTATTTTATTTACATACATTGCTAAATCTATGCAATACAATCCTTTATTAATGCTGTGTATTTATGAATGTAGTTAAAACATTTTTTACTCTTTTGGTTAGTTAGTCCTACATAACAAAAGGCTAAAGACAAATTTATTAAATTCGCTCACCAGTCACTAGATCTTGCAATTTGTATTTTTTCCTTCTTTATCATTGAAATCGTTTTTGTATTACCTCTATTACCTCTAGCTGACTCTACCGTACTTTAGTCGACTTTACAATAATCCAGCTGACTACCAGTCCTTTTCTGTAAACAATGACATTCTCTTGTCTACTGCTTACTACGTAGTGTGGCAATAAGTTTATTGTAAAAGATCCGCACAAGTATAATTCTAAATCAGATTTAAGATTCCGAATCCCTGAATTCTACCATGTTTAATTTGTTACAGACTAACTGTGGAAGAAACACTGTGGTTCTTTGGGTTGTTGAGAGGAAAGGACACGGAGGTTGTCAGACCAGAGATAGAACACATGATACAAGACCTAGGATTGCCACACAAGGCTACCTCACTGACACAGGACCTATCTGGGGGAATGCAGCGTAAACTGTCTGTTGCTGTTGCCTTCATTGGCGGCTCCAAGTGAGTTTTTTGGTATCTTTTCTTAGGTTCTATTATTACCGTATGTACTTAACTCATTTTGAATATATCACAGAGTCAGAATGTACCTTTGATCCTATATTTGACTTAAAGGGAGGAGGCCTAATCAAATTATCTGTTATCTATAATATTTATTTGGTTGTTATTAGTTGTACTGGCTGATTTTGATTTAATTTGTTATTATTTGATTCATTACCTAATTTATAAAATTGTGAACGGTTAAATTTTCTTTTGTGAACTACAGTCTACCACAGTAATGGTGTATTCATATGAGAGCTAGTTATACATGCATGGAAAAATATTAAATATGATACATAGTTAATAGAACATAAATCCACAATAATTTGACGTTAAATAGTGACAGAAATTTTGACAGTGTGAGTTGTGTGTTCATGATTACTGAATTCAATCCAAAAATTTGTTTTTTGTTTTTTTTATATTTTGTAAAGGTCATTACAATATAACAAACTGCAATAAGTTTTATGTAATATACGAGGTCTGTCTGTAAATTAAGATCTCCATCGAGCTCTTGTTGCAAGGGAGGCCTTAAATCTGATACCTGTGCCGTATTCAATTCAATTTGTACATTGATAAATAAATCATTAAAAATTCCTTAGTCTAAGGGTTAAAAGAATCATTACCTTTGCTATCAACATTTACCAATTTAACTGTAGGGGAGTACCTGAATGGGAGATGAAAAAAACAGACTATCTAATTTCTGACAGTTCAACAAAGGACGGGCAGATTCAATCTCAGAAGAAGATCATTTCCGGTACCAATAAAAATACTCTAGAATCTGTGAACTCTGGAAACAATACCAATGAGGCTAATCAACCTCAGCAAACGGAAGTACACAACAGGACCTCTGAAGTAAATTCACCTGAAACAGGCTTCTGCGGATTTGAAACACCTGATAGAAGTGAGATGGAAGAAATGAAAAAGAGACTGATTACTGTTCAAGACCAGATGCTCAACCAATCAGAGGGATGTGTCATACAGTCTGCACTCACTCTTCAGCCTTCTTCATCTACTCCAAGGATGTCTAAAAACGACTCTCCTAAAGGACATTATTTTTTAAGGAAAAGACAACCGAAATTGTATCCAGTATAGAATACAACACTACTTTAGGAGGTATGGCCAATGGGGAGTCAGAACAGATCCCTGCAAATCTAACAAATCATGAAATAAGAAAAGAAATTATTTCAGAAGATGTTAACTTTTTAAGCTTGAGCCGTCTCAAAAGTAAAGGGAGTTCATGGCTGGCTCACTTGAATATTCAAGGGGGGTTTATTGATAAATTAGACGATTTAAAAATACTATTACATAATTCATCAATCAATTTTTTGTGTCTAAATGAACATTGGTTAAAGGAAGAGCAGGGATTTGTTTTGAACTCCATTCCTGGATATAAATTAGGTGCAGCATATTATAGAAAGAACCATGTAAAGGGAGGATCATGTATAATATTGAAAGATTATATTGATTTTAAAGAAAGGGAAGATTTGGAGGTATTCAATCAGGATTTAGTATTTGAATCTTCTTCTATTGAGGTTCCAAAGCAAAACTTGATTATTGTCTCTCTTTACAGGATCCCTGATAGGAGTAATGTACCTTTATTTTTAAGTAAACTAGACCAATTTCTGACTGTGCTGTATAAAAAATCAAAAATTAAGCATATTTTTATCTCTGCTGATTTTAATATTGATGTATTAGACTCCACAAAACACCAACAACTCAAATCAGATTTTTTAAACCTCATCACTTGTTATGGATTTGTTATAAATTTTTGCACCCCCACAAGAATTGCTGGTAACAGTAAAACCTGTATCGATAATATTTTAGCAAACAATTTTTTTCAACATACCTTTCATGAAATACTTAATGTAGAACTAGGGATTTCAGATCACAGAGCACTTTTCATTAATATCACTTCTGTTGTCAATGAACACAAGCACATAGATAAAAATGCCAAAGGTGTTCTTAAGCGATCTTTTTCATGTAGAAACCGCAGTTTATTTAGACACTCTTTACAAAATATAGATTGGAATCTTGTCAGTAACGAAACATTCCAAGTGAATTTCAATAACTTTTATGCTAAGTTTGTTGGAGTGTTTAATGAAGCCTTTCCCTTAAAAAATATACAACAAAAATTAAGGAGGGATAGTAAAAATAAAAATGATTGGATAACTGTGGGTATTAAAACATCTAGTATACATAAGAGACAACTACATCAGTTAGCAAAAACATCTGTAGATCCATTATTTTTGGATTATGTAAAAAAATATAAGAAAATATTTAAATCTGTATGTAAGGCAGCTAAACTATTAAGTAACCGGCTTAAAATAAGCAATGCTACAGACAAATCCAAAGCAGCATGGAATATTGTAAAAACGGAACTTGGCAACATTGAAAAATGTCAGAATTTTCCAAACTTGATAGTTAACGACAAGGAAGTGACATCAGGGTCTGAAATTGCTAACGTTTTAAATATTAAATTTTTACAATCATCCAATTCATTAAATATTGTGCCTTGTGTTGAAGATGCCCTTGGTTTCCTTGACAGGGTTTTGCCACCTTCTTTGCCAGTTTTTTGTTTCAGTTGTGTAACAATGAAAGAAGTAAAAGATGTTATACATTCAATTAAAAATAAGAAGTCAGTTGGATGGGATGAAATCTCAGTAGACCTCATAAAAGACAATGTAGACATAATTGCCAAACCTCTATGTCAATTAGTCAACCAATCTCTAACTGAGGGAATCTTCCCTGATCAGATGAAATATGCAGTAATAAAACCAATTTTTAAAAAAGGTGGAGTCAATAACCCAGATAATTATCGACCAGTGTCAATACTGCCAGTTTTATCTAAGGTTTTTGAAAAAATAGTCTGTAAACAAATTGTAGCATTTTTTGAATCAAATCATATTTTTTCTAGCAGTCAATATGGGTTTAGATCTGGCAGGAATACTTCAATGGCAATTACTGAGTTGGTAGAGCACATCTTAGAGGCCTTGGATGGATCACAGAGGGTATCTGGTATTTTCTGTGATCTATCCAAGGCTTTTGATTGTGTATTGCATGAGATTCTATTAGAAAAGTTAAAAAAATATAATTTCTCAAAAACTGCAATTTCTTGGCTTTGTTCATACTTAAGTAACCGTAAGCAACGAGTTGTAATAGAAAGAGATTCATTAAAATTTCAATCAGATTGGCAAGAGATTTCAGTTGGTGTTCCCCAGGGTTCAATCCTTGGCCCAATATTGTTCTTAATTTATATAAATGATCTTGATGGCAACATTAATACAAACCTCATTTTATATGCAGATGACACCACTGCCCTGCTTAAGGCTCAAAGTGTACATGAGCTTAAAATACTTACTGTCAATGCTATGGAGGAACTTGAAGTATGGTTTCGTACTAATGGGCTAAAACTAAATTGTGAAAAAACAAATCTGATGAAATTTCAAACAGCACAAAGTAATGACCCTACAACATTTGCAGTTGAGTTTTTAAATACTGAAATTACATCTAAAATACAGAATAAATTTTTGGGATTAACAATTGACCAAAATTTAAACTGGAAAAAATACATAACAATACTCGGTAATAAACTGAATTCTGCTTGTTTCCAAATGCTTGTGTTAAGGGATAGAACTGATTTGGAAACTAGATTAATGGTTTATTTTGCCTATTTTTATTCCATTATGAAATATGGAATTGAGCTATGGGGTTCATCAGCTGATTGGAAAAAAATATTCAAGTTTCAAAAAAGAATTGTTCGCATTATGACATTTTCGCGGCCACGAGTCTCATGCAAGCCAATCTTTAAACAGTTAGGATTATTGAGCCTTCCCTCTCTCTATATATATTCATGCTTACTGTACATTCAGAGGAATTTTGATCTTCTTTGTGGACAGCAGCATTTACATGCATACAACACAAGGTGCAAAGACAATTTTCAATACCGAATACATAACTTAACAATCTATGAAAAGGGACCTAGTTACATGGGTATGAAGTTCTTTAATAATCTACCGACAAACATTAAAAGCCAAATCCGTTTAAAGAGTTTTAAGAATACTCTAAAAAGTTATCTTTTAAACCAAGTATTTTACTCTGTAAGTGACTTTTTGCAAAATTAAGCAGCATTATGTAATTGTTGTTTTAGAGTCAGACAAAAATGTTCTGTAACTTAATTGTATTTTTAGGTTTATATTGAATTGACAATGTCACCAGTTTAATAGCTTTGCTATGTACAAATGTTTCTATGTGACAATAAAGTGGATTTGATTTGATTTGATTTGATTACCTTAGGCAGCATAGGGAATAATTCTTCTTAGAAGCTTTTTCATCAAAACAATTTTTTTGTGGCTTTGACTTATTTGATTTCTTACAAATTTTTTTTCAGGACTGTAATTTTGGATGAGCCCACTTCTGGAGTGGATCCGTATTCTCGAAGGTCAATTTGGGAACTACTCATCAAGTATAAAAAAGGTAAATTGACAGTTTAATCATCAGTTTATTTTTACTCATTTCATTACAAATGATATTATTTTTAGTGTTGAAAATTTGTTTGATAGTTTTTTTAAAAGATATGTGAATTTATGGCACAATTGTTCCCCATTCGTCAAAGTAACGGGCAGGTAATTTAAAAATACTAAAAATAATAAGCTTATAAAATGGTATACTCCTGAGCTTGGAATAATTAAGAATGATATGCTTAAGTACTTTACTGTGTGACAGTGTTTCCGGGTCGGTGTCGTTTGGTTCGTACTGTCAAATAATATCAAAGCACAGATAGTTCAATCGCTAGAAGTGGGTAAATCCAGGATCGGTTTTTCGTAAACTTTTGAATAGGTTTGGAGTTTTTTTTGGGATGGGCTCAGTAGTGCAGCTTTAAAATCACTCAATGACTCTTGAGATTCCTTTATGTCCTTGCTGCTAAACTCTCATCATCGCCCCTAATCAAGGAATGATGTGGAAGCAATCAAGGAACCGCAAAAAGGTCGTTGGCAAGGAGTGGGTCATAACTTCGCGGTATATATTTGATATCAAAAATCTATTCCTTGCACTTATCTTATTTATTGATTAAAGAATTAATTCAAGATATTATACGGTAATTTATTATGCAAGGAAGTCGAGGTATTAATCCAATGAACAATGGTGTAAAAGCCAAGGATTAATGGTAGAACGATTTACGTTGATCAAGGTAATAAAGGTAATAAAGGTATTAATCCAAGGAACTAAGGTGTAATAGCCAAGAATTAATGGTAAAGTGGTAATATTATCTACCAAGGAAGTAATGGTATTAATCCAAGGAATTAAGGTGTAAAAACCAAGGATTAATGGTAGAACGGTTTATGGTAATCAAGGTAATAAAGGTATTAATCCAAGGAATTATGGTGTAAAAACCAAGGATTAATGGTAGAGCGGTTTATGGTAATAATAAGGTAATATTATATGTCAAGGAAGTACAGATATTAATCCAAGGAACTTTGGTGTAAAAGCCAAGGATTAATGGTTCAACGTTTTACGGTAATCAAGGTATTAATCCAAGGAATTATGGTGTAAAAACCAAGGATTAATGGTAGAGCGGTTTATGGTAATCATAAGGTAATATTATATGTCAAGGAAGTACAGATATTAATCCAAGGAACTATGGTGTAAAAGTCAAGGATTAAAGGTAGAACGGTTTACGGTGATCAAAGGTAATAAAGGTATTAGTGATGTGTCGAATCCGAATCTCGAATCTCGAATCCATCGAATCTTTAGGAAATATTCGGATTCGAGATTCGGTCAACAAGATTCGACTTTCGAATCCTTCGAACTTCGACCCGAATAAGAATCGGCGTTAGTCAAAACAGCTGCCGACGCGATGGCGGCGACAGGACGACTGTTCAAGGTCAGTTCGAGACTAGGATTAAAGGTAGAGCGGTTTATGGTAATCAAGGTAATATTATATGTCAAGGAAGTACAGATATTAATCCAAGGAACTTTGGTGTAAAAGCCAAGGATTAATGGTTCAACGGTTTGTGGTAATATTATATCAAGGATATTCAAGGTATTACTCAAAGGGATTAAGGTGTAAAACCAAGGAATTATTTCAGTACAACATAAGATTTAACTATTTAAACAAGGGAATCAACAATGGTACGATAGTCTGCTTATTAATAATAGCACATCTATACTCTACCTACTTCAGGCTATCACAGCTCCCAGGATTTATGGAAATGGTCTTGGGATGGTTAGATAGGTTTTAAGCAACGGAATAAAGCAGGTAGAATGAGGCTAGGTGCATACAGATTGAAATACAAGCATAGAATGTACAAGCAAGGTAGATAAAGTACGATGGTATAGTCACTATGAGCAAGGCAAATCTACAAATTAGCGTGGTAAATAATCTGCTAATTATAGATCAAGCAATTACAAAGCAATGACAATTTATACGTCAACTAAATGCAATAATACTATAAATGTGCGATTCAAGCTTTAAATGCTACGGTATTATAATTTCCAAATGATTTACAAAAGATAATGCAAGCAATCAATGTTAAGTTAAGACAAGCAATTATACTGTATATGGAATAAATGTCGGTACAAATACTAGAAACAGACTTGGAGACGTTCTCCTACCTTATTTGATGATCGACTAGTCGGGTCGGTATCGTGTATGGAAGTGAAGTCTTAGAGTCGTCTCGGCCTCTCTGAATAGTGAGACCATCGTGCGCATGCTCGACAGGTAAGCGCGGGAAACTGGAGCATGCGCGAGGTGCGCGCGCACGTCAAGGAAGCGGGAAATTCAAATTGGTGGAACCTGAATATACTTGTCTTACTTGTCTATATTTGGTCTATTGTTGTTATTTAATTAAAAAAAATCGTACCATTATTTTAGCCTGTTACAACTGTCTATAAAAACCTAAGATCTACAGGTTCTGAGCTAACTCAGGCGGCTTATAATGTTTATATGAACCATAAAAAATTCTATAGAAATAAAATGACTCTTGCCAAAAAGGACGCGGTTGAGCACTTCATCAGTAATGCTTCCAACCCATGTCGTGCTGCCTGGGCGGTAATTAAAGATGAGCATTCACCAACTCATAGTCAAGATGCCATACTTGACCCAGACAAAGTTAATTCATATTTTTTAGATTCAATACAAGAATTAAGTAAAGTAATACCACAAAGCAATCTCTGTTATTGTTTGAAATTTAATGATTTTATTTGGAGCTTTATGTCGAGTGTTACAATTTTGTAAAGATTGCTGAGAAATAAAGGGCAAAATTAGTTTTTCCACAGCAGAAGCAAAAAAGTTGTTTAAAATATTGCTCACAGCAATTCAATGTGTTATAATTTTTTCATTTTGGGACATACTAATGTTGCTGTTTGAATTTTTCTTTGAGTTTAATTTGATTTCTTTTTTAATTATATTCCATGTCATTTTAGTTTTGTTTGCTGCACTTTTTATTTTCCCATATAAAATGTTTGTTTAGATTTAAGTATTGATTCTTTTAAGTCTTTTTTTGCAGATTTTCAACTTTCTATTTAACTCTTTTGTTTTTTGCACTCTGCTTAATTCTTCCAAATCTGTGAGATGCCTTTTTCTCTCTAATATTTCCACATTTCCTGGTTCCCTTATCAACACTAACAATCTTTGGAAAATTCAAGTCAAACAAGTATTTAAAAATAGAAATAAAAACATCATATTTTTTATCCACAGGGGACTGAAAAACCTCAAACCAGGTTTCCTCATTTAAGTCGTTTAAGAATACAGATAAGTTATTTTCATTTAATTTTCTACATCTCCTCTTAACCCTTTGGCTGCTATGCAACGATATATCGTCGTTGGCATTCATGCCGAGAACTGCTACGCAACGATATATCGTTGTTGGCTTTTGTTCCGAGAACTGCTATGCAACTATATATCGTTGTTACGAATTTTTTTTTACGGCGCTAAATATTACGTTATTTTTATGCGGTTTGCGGCAAATGACGGTTTAATAAGTGTACTGTTCGTTAAAAATTATAACAACACTTGTATTTGTCGAGTTGTATATAGTACACTAATAACGAAAACAGCTGTGATCTAGACTGCACTGGAACAGAGTTATCTGCGTAGTTGGAGCAGACAGCTGTTATTGATGTTCTGAAGTTTAGTGCTTTGGTGTTTCTATGGTTATGCGACGTTTGTTATGAACAAGTTTATTTTATAGTTGGTGTTTTAGTGAGTTGACGAATTATGGGTGATCAAAATCGACCGAAATCCCCAGTTAGTGAGAACACGATATTCAATTTTGCCCGAGAATCGGGGCTGAACATTAATTTGTATAATAGCGAGGACAATGAAAGTGACTCTTCAATTGATGATCTATCCTCTGTTGATTCCTCTCCTGCTTTTGTTGATGATACAGACGAGGATCCGACGTATGATCCTGCAATTCCGGGCACATCAACAGGTAGGAGGGCTAGACGTTTTCCTGAAATCCGAGGTGATCGTCCTGACTTAGGCCTAACCTCTGACTCAGAGGTAGATGAACCTAGGCCTGTACAACAGACTAGGCCTTTTGGTGGTAGGGGTGTAAGAGGTCGCATGGTAAGGCGTAGGCCTATGGGTAACAGGAGAGGTGTTGGAAGAGGTAGGCCTAACGCTGCTCCTCAGCAAAATGCAGGGGATAGTAGCAGCTGGGACGAGGTTGAAGAAGAGAACGATGAGGGATACAACCACCAGTTTCAATATTCAGAATTGAATGGACCTAAACATTGCCCGCCCCGAAATTCAAGGCCTATTGAATATTTAAAACTTTTTTTCACTCTTAGTTTGTTAGAGACTTTTGTCACAGAGACAAACCGTTATGCCAGAAAGTTCATCGCAGATCAGCGTCAGCAGCAAGGATTGTCTCCATTTAGTCGAGTGAGAAAGTGGGTAAATTTGATCGTTCTAGAATTGATGGCTTTTATAGCAATAATTCTAAATATGGGACTAATCCGCAAGCCAAGCATAGAGAGTTATTGGGACACCCACTTCAGCCAAGTGACGCCATATTTTGCAAAAATTATGCCGAGGGATCGATTTCAGGTTATTTTAAAAATTTTTCATTTGCTTGATATGGATAAATTGGTAGCACATGGGGAACCCGGTTACGATCCTTGTGGGCGTTTCCAACCGATAATCGATCATGCAAATCGGTTGTTCAAGCTGTATTATTATCCGACAAAGTCGCTCTCCGTCGTCGAGTCTCTCGTCGGCACCAAAAAGAGAGTTGCCCTAACTCAGTATTTGCCGAAGAAAAAGCACCACAAGTGGGGCATCGAATTGTGGGTGCTGTGCGACTCTGTAACCAAGTACTGTGTGCAATTCTATTGCTACAAGGGTGCACAAAGGAATGATGACAATGAAAGAGTCGTTGAAGCAGGCTTGGGCAGTACAGTAGTGATGACTTTATTGCGGATGGCAAATTGTCTGAACAATGGTCTCCACATGTACCTGGATAATTTTTTTACTTCCTTGTCTCTTGCCAAATTACTGTATGTACACCAAACCTTAGACACTGGTACGTTGAGGAAAGATAGGGTGGGCCTCCCAAGACAACTGTGGGGAAGTACGCTGTAGGCCAAAAAACTTATGTCCGGAAAGGGCCCATTCTCATCATGGCCCATAGAGAGAAGGCCACAAATAAATCTCAGTTCGTAATTCTCAGTACTGATAGTGAAGCAAAAACAGTGACATAGGTACACTATAAGAAGAAGTGGAAGAGATATTGTGAAAAACAAGACAAAAATTGCACACCAGTATAACATGGGTATGGGAGGCATAGACTCAACCGACCAAATGCTATATGTGTACCTTGACGAACGGAGAACCATGAAACATTCAAAAAAAGTTATTTTCAATGTGATGGGCCGCATGGTGTTGAATGCTTATTTGCTGTATAAGCTAAACACAACTCAAGGCAGGATGAGTAGGGCTAATTTCATGAGATCGGTAATTGAAGAGTGGTCAAATGAATGGCTTGCCAGCAAGCAGGATCAGGGTCCTGAGGATAACGAGGGTGGTGGTGATGGTCCACGTGTTGGCCTTTGGTCTGAGGAAGTTACCTGGAAGGAAAGAAAAACTCTGCAGAGCCTGTTCAGGTGAAAACCATCCTGAAATGAAGAAAAGAAGATCACGCACAATCTGTGTACTGGGGAGCTGGGGTACACGCAGAGTGCTTTGTCAATCACGTGTGCCAGTAAAGTGTCCCAAGAAAATGTAAATAGTGTAAATATTAACTGTAGTTCTTGTTATTGTGTTCATAAACTGATTTTTTATATTTTACAATTATTATTTGGCATATATATGCCGGACCCACAGTTACGCAGTTTCTTGACGCCAATCTACAAAACGGTAAGTTTTTTTTTGTTTTATTGATAACTGTGTAAAATTCATTATTTTTGCTTGCAACTTTCAGGATTTACTCAATACAACATGTACTTTCAGTTAAAAATAGAGTTTACAGGAAGAGTTGGATTTTTATTTATGTTTTTTAGTCTCAAAGTTGAAAAAAAAAAAGTTGTCAAATTTTGTTGGGCGTATTTTTATATTTATTTTTTAATGTTTTATTTTTTTATTTGTTTAGAATAAAATATCCTACAAAATAAAATAAAGATCAATTTAATAACTTTTATTTTGCGGAAGTTATGATATTTTTGGTAAAACTCTACAAATTCACCATTTTAGGCTTAGCAGTTTAGGGATAAAACATGTAAAAAACCTTAGCAGTTTTCGGATAACATGTCAAAAAATTCTTAGCAGCCAAAGGGTTAACTACTTTATTAGTTACACATTTGAGCGTAGCGAACGAGCTAACCTGAAGGAAAGTGAGCGCAGCGAACGAACTTCAAAAAGAACCGAAATTTCTTAAACCATGTCCTCACTCATAACTGCTATAAGCATTTGATACTTATATGCCAACCCCGTACGAAGGACGGGTACTCTGCTAGTTAGTAATAAAATTGTCAATTGCTGTAGAACTTATTTCAATTACCCTTGTTGGAAAATCAACCAGGTAGGACATATTAAACATTGAAATAGTGCTGATAAAATTGTAGTACAAAGAGTTATGTTTAAAACATTAATATTTATATCTCATGCTAAAATTATATTTTCATATTTACTTGTTAATATATCCAGTAAAATTTCCATATAAAAAAAAATATCATTGTATTTATAATTAGGTGATCTATATAAACAAATAAATACAAAAGAAAAGGTATTTACTGTTACTTCAACCATACAACACTCAAACTCCTTCTCCAATGTTAATTCTTGAGCTCTTTTGATTAATAATTTTTTATAAATTTGCTTGTCAAAATCATGACACCTCCACCTGTGGTTGTTGACCTGGTCCAGTAGGAGGATATGTTATAATTATTGAAATTTAAGTATTGTATTTCTTCTTCACGTATATTTATTTCTGTCAAAACAACTACATCTGGTTTTATTTAATCAAGGTTAATTTCTAAAATGCCAATGAGTGTCAGTAAATTTTGAACATTTTGATGGAAAATTGAGAGGTTTTGAGTGCTGTATAAATTATAGCTCATGTTATTATCACATTTTTGAACACTTTCTCCAAAAAAGGTTTAATATGTTTGCATCAAAATGAGATAGTAAATTAGTACCGGGTCTAGGTCTTATTGTGCCACCTAGGGTAACAGCTTTTTCTGGCTTATCTTACAGTAATGGCTGAAGCAAAGGGGAAGGGATCTGGAAATGGCATCCCTAAAACAAACAACATGGAAAAGTGATGCATAAACTGAAACAAACAAAGAACTTACATTCCATAGAGTATTTACGTATTTTCCTGGTTCTGATGTGCCTTGCTATTAATTAACACGGTATGTGAATTTTGAAGAGGTTCATTTTTCAATCTCCCAAACTGATTTTCCTTTTCCTACAGTTGAATGAATGATACCAATGAACGAGGCAGATCTGCTCGGTGACTGGATAGCCATCATAGCTTACTCATGTTACATAAGTGCAATCTTGTGTGAATCATACAGCCTTGTTATATAAAGTCTTATGCATTAGATCGCACTGTGCTTCTGACAACCCACTACATGGACGAGGCAGATCTGCTTGGTGACCGGATAGCCATCATAGCTTACTCATGTTACATAAGTGCAATCTTGTGTGAATCACACAGCCTTGTTATATAAAGTCTTATGCATTAGATCGCACTGTGCTTCTGACAACCCACTACATGGACGAGGCAGATCTGCTCGGTGACTGGATAGCCATCATAGCTTACTCATGTTACATAAGTGCAATCTTGTGTGAATCATACAGCCTTGTTATATAAAGTCTTATGCATTAGATCGCACTGTGCTTCTGACAACCCACTACATGGACGAGGCAGATCTGCTTGGTGACCGGATAGCCATCATAGCTTACTCATGTTACATAAGTGCAATCTTGTGTGAATCACACAGCCTTGTTATATAAAGTCTTATGCATTAGATCGCACTGTGCTTCTGACAACCCACTACATGGACGAGGCAGATCTGCTTGGTGACCGGATAGCCATCATAGCTTACTCATGTTACATAAGTGCAATCTTGTGTGAATCACACAGCCTTGTTATATAAAGTCTTATGCATTAGATCGCACTGTGCTTCTGACAACCCACTACATGGACGAGGCAGATCTGCTTGGTGACCGGATAGCCATCATAGCTTACTCATGTTACATAAGTGCAATCTTGTGTGAATCACACAGCCTTGTTATATAAAGTCTTATGCATTAGATCGCACTGTGCTTCTGACAACCCACTACATGGACGAGGCAGATCTGCTTGGTGACCGGATAGCCATCATAGCTTACTCATGTTACATAAGTGCAATCTTGTGTGAATCACACAGCCTTGTTATATAAAGTCTTATGCATTAGATCGCACTGTGCTTCTGACAACCCACTACATGGACGAGGCAGATCTGCTTGGTGACCGGATAGCCATCATAGCTTACTCATGTTACATAAGTGCAATCTTGTGTGAATCATACAGCCTTGTTATATAAAGTCTTATGCATTAGATCGCACTGTGCTTCTGACAACCCACTACATGGACGAGGCAGATCTGCTCGGTGACTGGATAGCCATCATAGCTTACTCATGTTACATAAGTGCAATCTTATGTGAATCACACAGCCTTGTTATATAAAGTCTTATGCATTAGATCGCACTGTGCTTCTGACAACCCACTACATGGACGAGGCAGATCTGCTCGGTGACCGGATAGCCATCATAGCTTACTCATGTTACATAAGTGCAATCTTGTGTGAATCACACAGCCTTGTTATATAAAGTCTTATGCATTAGATCGCACTGTGCTTCTGACAACCCACTACATGGACGAGGCAGATCTGCTTGGTGACCGGATAGCCATCATAGCTTACTCATGTTACATAAGTGCAATCTTGTGTGAATCACACAGCCTTGTTATATAAAGTCTTATGCATTAGATCGCACTGTGCTTCTGACAACCCACTACATGGACGAGGCAGATCTGCTTGGTGATCGGATAGCCATCATAGCTGATGGTCAGCTACAGTGTTGTGGATCCAGTGTGTTCCTCAAGTCTAGGTTTGGCACTGGCTACTATCTCACAGTGGAACTCACTGCAGTTGTGAGTATCAAACAATACACAATTAGATAGAAACTATGCATCGTTTACAAAGTATTGACTTTGTATAATAGAAGCCATAAACAAGTGTTTAAGATCACCCACAAGGAAAACCTTGCAATTATCTGATAAAATAATAAATATAAGGTTGAAAAGTCATTCGTCTTACTGTTGGTATTGCAAAAACAAACTCATGTTCGTGTAAGAAACAGTAATTTTCTGAGATTTGAAACGGTGTAATTTTGAAAACTGTCACTGGATTGGTAGTTTAATTTGCTTGTGCTTAAAAAACAGAGAAGTATGGTACAGACTACAGAGGAAACATTGAGTAGTACACTCAAATGTTATGTAGCATTAGTCGCTGGTGTCTTGGGCAAAGTCCAACACCACCTTCCTCACCCTCATGTACCTACTAAAACGGTCACGGTGAAGGAATACCTTGTGCCCTGTGCGATAGGAATTTCTGCACAGTGGTCACTGCTCGGGCTCTTCCTTGCTCAACACAATTATATTTCTGGCACAACATACTAGAGCTGAAAGCGCATAAGTCCGTGAATGCGATAACTTGAGTAATTTTTGTGTGATGTTGATCAAATTTGGTTTGAAGGTGTAGGTGGGATGCATGATTGGACCATGGGAAATAAAAACAAAAATGTTTCCCAATTTCTCTAGACCATTATAAAGAGCTTAAAAAAAATAATTTAGTATGCTAAAGAGTTTTTGTACAGTTATTGGTTAAAAAAAATATATAAAAAAAACTGTAAATTTAAAATACCCATGTTATTATTATGGAGAATTCTTATATATAATATGTGAAGGTGATTTATACAAAACACTACTCCTCCGATAATAATGGACAGATTTTTACAAAATGATGTGTCAAAATTAAGTATTTTTTGGGGGGCGATGTCTACTTGTACCGGCGTCTAGTTGTACCTGCTGCATTTTGGTGACAGGCGTCTAGTTGTACCCCGTCCAAAGCTGTAGAGACAACTTGACGATGGTGCGGACGTCTAGTTGTACCTACGTCTAGTTGTCTCTACGTCTAGTTGTACCTCTTAAAAATCTACAGGTACAACTAGTCGGGAACGTCACCGTCTACTTGTACCTCATACGTCTGCGTCTACTTGTACCTACGACTACTTGTACCTACGACTACTTGTACCTACGACTACTTGTACCTACGACTACTTGTACCTACGACTAGTTGTACCTACGCCTAGTTGTACCTACGTCTAGTTGTACCTGCGGCTAGTTGTATCTCCCCTTCAACTTGTCACCAGTTTAAGGGATTTATTTTATTTCTTTAAAAATCATACAATCTTACAACAATTTATTATAAACAACTTGCTACAAAAGCCAGGAAAATTTGGCTTGTCTGCAGCTCATTGAGAAACCCCTGTTCTTGACAACAACGTACTTGTGTCCCTTGGTCAGTCCTTATCCATATTACACTTTGGTTTTCACTTTTTGGTCAGGCCGTATGAACTAGGAGGCCCCTAACAGTTCAATACTTCAAGTATTACACTACACCTAACATTCCGTAGAGAGATTATATTGACAACTTTATGTTATTGCTAAGGCTTAGACAACTAACTGACATCCCCCATGTCAAGAAATCCCAGCTTCAACAGTAACCTCAAAATAAATTTCTCAAAAGTAAGCTAGAGGGTGCATTCGTTGGCACAGAAGTAAGATATGAACTGACGTGACGTGACGAAGGAAAAATCAAACTTACACTGTAACGGATATACCTCCCTTTGAATATGTCTTCCCCTTCTAACTACATTCAAAGTTTACACGAGGCAAATGCAGTAGGCTATCCTGTCTTGTGCACCTATCTCGTACTTCTTTTCGAGTTGTTAGTTCATCTTTGATGTAGGAGTGTCTGTTGGTTTTGACCACTTTATGTACTATGGCAACAGTTTCAAGGACGCAAACAACCTGCACTGGTAACATTTCACTTTTCTTTCTGATATGTGATATGTGATCACCTATATTTAAAAGTGGTATTTAGAAAAATAATTACAATACAATTTTTTTTAGTTTTTCCAGTTTATAAAACAATCTTACTAACTATGGGTTGAAATGAAAATTTAATTCGGGTGGTGAAATATATTTTAAATTTTTCATAGCTTCCTCGATTTGTTAATACATTTTTTACTAGTTTTAAATCATTTATGTGCTAGGCAGGCGATTTTAAATAGCCAAAGTTAAGAAAAAATGCAAAGCTGCTCTAACTTTTTTTACACCAACAGCCGTTACAATTAAATTACAAACATAAAAAGTAAAACAATTTATTAGCAATCAAATTCTTGATTTTTTTAATATCATATTGAACTATATTTGATTTGTTTGCCCAAAGAAACGTCGAGTAAAAAGTGTAAATGTTCAACAATCATCGCGTCTTCTGACGCCAAAGTGCGTTTATCATTCTTTTAAAGGATTAAAACTTATTTTATTTCTCTTTAAGAAAAATGTTCAAATACATATAATACAGTACTACTCGTGCGTGATTTGAATAAGTTTATTGCATAGTTTGGTCACATACTATTGGTGCATTGGTGTACAACCTACCGACGCGTCATCGGCCTGGCTAACTGCTCCGAGTCATCAACCTGGCTCACATCTTCTCGGGATTTTTGAAATATGTGACCGCAAAATGGAAAACTATTTTTGACCCACCCCTCCAGATTTTTGGGTTGACCGGTAAATGGACGATTTTACCCTTGACCGGTAAATGGACGACCGCAAAATGGACACAACCCGGTCATTACCCCTCGAGGCACCGGCCGATGGACCAGGGAACAGCTATGATTTACACTATCACCCTCTACTACGACATTTTTTTTTAGGTAAACATTCCAACGCTCATGATGACATCGAACACTCATGCATATTTGTATATAGGCCTAGCCAGTCCAAAACCTGAATACACTGTAGGTATGAATCAGACCGCTTATATCATAAACAACTAAATATTAAGGCTAGTTTCCTAAACAGAGAACACACAAGAATGGCACTTTACAAGACTTTTTATACCAAGCCTTCATAAACTAAGAGTATTTCATAAGTTACGTTGCCTGTGTAGATTTAGACTTTAAATCAGTATAAAATCAGCAATGGATTGAAAATCTAAGTGTTATTTACGTTTTGTTTGCATTATAATGTAGTGTACCTGTTTCTCGAAATCGACTAATTTTTAAGCTATGTGTATTACCAGGAATTATTTCAAAACTAATAAATAAATAACGTCTTTGTTGGGCAGCGTACATCAGATTATAGATCTGTTTTACATCAAAACTTTTGTCATTCAAGGAGTTTAAAATACTCAACTAAAAGCTTATGTTATTAATAAAAAAATCACACTGTTCATAACAGTTTGATATAATCAACATTTTTTTGAAAATGTTTAATACTGTGAGTGAAAGAGTTTTTTTTAGCAACTACCACAGTACTACGTAAAATCAAAACAATATTTAGGTTGATTGGAGGTCAATCACTTTCTCGCAACTACGCGATAGAGGGCTGACCCAACACCCCAATAACTGGAATGGATTGTTGTGAATGGAAACTCTAAGAATTTGCAAATGAAGTCCATTCTGAGTAACGTGTGGGGATTAACGGGACATTCTGTACGCTGTTTACAAAATATTTCCTTTGCCTTTCCAAGTACTGAATCTATATGGTTTTGCTTATATTAAACAATAAGTCAAATACTTTGTAGCAGATGTCTTTAGCTGCATTTTACAACAGGTATTTCGTTCACCTTTCTCAGAAATAGCTGTTCATGGCGTGTTCCTGAATCAACAATAAGGTATATCGTGTTATTGTCCTAATAAACACGAGAGACATTCGCCTATCTTTATGGTCGTATTATATAAATAACATTGAACTGATTAATTTAACAAATTATCATTGTTAATTTATTGTAACAACTAGCTGTGTGCCCGTTCTACGCACGGGATCTTATAGTAGTCAGTTGAAACCTTCTTATATTAAGATTAAGAACAGCAGTTAGTTTGCATATTTGCAGATATGCTGGCAAAACTATTATATATAAACCTTCGCAAATACATTATCTGACAGTTCAAGCCAAAATAAATGCTTCGCAATTAAATGTCACCCGGATCGTTATGGTCCATATGTCCAATGATTAAACTAAAAAATGTTTTATAGATCCATGAAGCGTAGGTAGCCCTAAAGTAGGCCTATAATTGAAAGTTACTTTCCACATCGGTTAACTTAAACGTATTTAAAGTACTATCTCAACCTCACCATTTAACACTTTATTCCGGTTGACATTTTCAGTATCAAAGGTGCTCTTGTCCATTCCGTGAAACACTGAGAAATAAGGACATTAATGCGTTACCAACAGATATACACACGACAATCCAAAAAAGGCCACGAACTATTGATACATAAACAATATAAAGGCGTAAACAATTCATGATGGTTTGCCCAACAAATGTTTTACTCAAATAGGTTATCATTTTCTTAGCATACCGGGTAAGCTAAGATTTGGAATCCAGACAGAAAAAGCAAAACTTATACAGAGTTAAGACATCACTTAAATTGAATACGGACATTCTCTAAACAATGATTAGTATATCTATTAACATTAGAAGGAAATGTGACGAAAATCACACAATGTTGGGGTTTTGGTCATTTGTAATTATATTTCTTAAATAGGTAGGCCATGTATTCTATGGAAAAGTACCGGTATCAAGGATCGTCGTCAAAAAGGTTGTTATGAATAAATATGTAGGCTTACGTACCCAAGATATGAGCTATGGGCCTATTGGCTGTATGGTCCAGCGATTGCATCACACGGTGAGTAGAAACAGAAAGTGACACATTGGAAAAGCGAGTTTAGCACTTCCTCTGTTAAACCTCTGTTACAATCACCCACTGCAGTTGTGATTTTTTACTTTACACTTTACACAACCGCCATTGAAGCGCCGTCAATGAGTGGAAACCTTTTTTGTAAGCTATTGGCGACG